CCCTTGACCCTAGGTCCAGAAGCAACTTCAGGGTCCTGCCAGTGAAGCCGTATGTTATTCCTGGCTGTGTGAGCTGGGGAAAGTGTCAAAGAGAATACTTCTCTTGTACCCTGCATGTGTCAGAGAGAGGCAAGGAGAGGTAGTGAACATCTGCCCATTTTTGGCTTTGCTCTATTGAAAACAATAGAGGGGGAAGGAGGGAGAAAACCCTTGTTTTGCTGCCAAGACCAGGATCTGATGAATATGTAGCATCTAAAAAAGCTACTGGGGATTCCAAATTTTACTTTAAGAACTTGAGCTTTTTTTGTAGCAATGTTAGAAGCCAAACAGGACATGTGTGACTCTCTGTAAATCATTTATCTTAGCAACAAGTAAAACTCCATTCCTAATGCCCTGCTTTTAGAGGAGTAGATAAGTGTTTGATTTGGTATTCCATTCTGCTCATTGGCTGTGAGCATCATGGATTTGGGACTGATGACTGAGATGCTGTCATAACCAGTTTTGTTCATTTTTTTTAAGCAGGTGCTGGCACTGCTAACAGGAAGGGTCAGATGGGGACAGCTGAGAAGTTACACTAAAAAAAAAAGGAGGTTCCTGATGTGGAAAAAGTTGAGGACAGCTTAGCTGCTGTGAGACTCTGCATCAGCTCCATTTGCGAGATTTCCAGGCTAGCTCTCAGGTTCTCTCTAGTGACTAGAGTGTTGGATTTACACCAGGGAGACATTCCGGATTCAAGTCCCCGCACAGTTGTGAACTTCACTGGGTGACCTTGCACTCCTTCAGTTGGCACTCCTTCAGTTCTCCAAGTGCACCCCACAAATTGACTTTAGGGGTCCCACCAACTCTCTGGAGCAGATTTGACTACAGTGCAGAGATGTCTGCCTTTTTATAAAGCTATTGTCTCATTTAGAAGTAAAAACTTGTAAAGATAATTCCTTCAGATTTTGTTTTTTCCCCTTGCCACTCAAACGAAAACAAAACAAAGTAGAACTTCTTAAAGCCAGACAGATCCACCTCAGTGTAGGAAAGCTAGCCAAATCTCATTTCCAAAACATATGGTTTGCCTGCTTCTCTTTGTTCAGTAAAATTCCATATCTGCAGTGTTTCCTACTTCTTGCCAAAGGATATCTAGGCTTGACTTCAAACACCCATGGGTAGAAGTCAATGAAAGACTTGACCTTCATTATTATTATTATTGTGGTTAGTAGCTAAGCTGACTTTGAAACTTCTAAAAGCATATAGAATAACCTGATGTGCAAATGAAATCTTCCAAAATCAGAACTGGCAGCTATAATTTTCATGGGCATCCATCAAATAAACCTGAGTTCCCAACCCAAAAAATAATTTGTTCAGGTTTATTTTGCTTATGAGTACTTCTAAGGTGGCCATGAGTCCTGTATTTGAAAGGTTATCCATTTCAGATTTAAAGTTAAAGAACCTTGAGAAGGGAGAATTGTTGCCCATTGACAGTTGACATCTAGACAGCAGGGATATGGGTCAACAGGCCACAGACTTTCCTATTATAGTGAGATGTGTTTCTATTTGAATTAATACTATTGTTATTTTTCTAAATTTGCATCCAAATTCTTATCTGCATTTTTATTTTTGCAAATCTGTGTCACCATTTGTCTTCTTTTGATGTTCTACTTCCTCTTTTTATGATCCCACCGTAATAAATTTTCATTCGACTTCTGAACCTATATATTTAATGGTCAATTAATATCAGCCAATAGACTATTTCTTGATTATTAAAGTATTGGATAAGTGGTTTACATAAAAACAATGACATACAATAAAATTTCCTAAATACCGGTAAATAGATAAACACAACTGTACAAATAAAACTGAGTGATGTACAAATAAAAAAATTAAAAATTAACAGTCAAAGTCAATGAGAGCATGGTAAACATAGAAGTCTCTGCCTCACAAATAAGCTATAATAAAGTTTTTCTGGTGATAATTGGAAGTGTGTAACAATCGAGTTCCATTATTAGCACCTCAGAAGCCAACCAATCCACACACACACACACACACACACACCAGTTCTATGTGCAGCCATCTTTTGAAATTGCTCAAGGGCAATTAAGCTTAACAATTCTCATAACTATGTCAAGGGAACCACTGGATTTGTCTAGCAGGCATGTGCTAGGACATTCTATGAATAAATATTACACACACATATACACACAGAGAGAGTTACTAGGAAATCAAAATGCGGTCATGAGCCTGAATCTCTTAGCAGCCATAGAAAGGTTGGTTCTCTTCCAAATTCTGTGAATCAAACTGCAGGGGTCCGTTTTGTGAAGAGAGCCCTGCAGGATTCACACAGCTGTAGAGGGAAAGCAAGTATCTAATCCAGCTGAAACAATTCCAAACTCCAACAAAGCCAGTCAAGCCACAAAACTGTTGTTTTCTGTTTTTAATATTCATGAGTTGTATTGATTACATGAAAAACGGTTTCCTTCTTCTGCCTCTGCTTAACTCATGAGGTAACTATTAATAGGGATCATGTCTTTGTTTGCATCTAGTAAGTATACCCAGGAGTAACAAGATGAAACACAATGGCCTACCTTTGACCTTATTTCCTTAAAAAAAACCCAAAGGGAAGAATAATGAGAATATGCTTATTATTATACATAGGAGGCTGTAATGGTATGGGGAAATTAGGCGTATTCCGTGTGGTCGTCTAGATCCAGTGCCTAAAAACCAAGCCAATAGTTACTGACTGCAACATCCAAACTGTTGGGGATCTGATATCCATTTTCTAGGCTCTGGTAACATCGAAGGTAGATTACTGGAATGAGTTCTACATGGGAGTGCCCAGGAAGACCAGAATACATCAGACCATCCCCCAACCCAAACTAGTTTGTTAAGAAAATCCCCAAACTCGGTTCCATGGGTGACTCTGGGTCATCTCTCTGCGGTAGCTTATCTTAAAGTTTTAAGTATCTATATGCTTATCACATTTATAAATTTTAAATTTATTGTTGTACATTGTTTTAAATGTTTTTTTCCCTTCTTGGGGATTGTACCCCCAAGTGTGTTTTATAAGCTGGTCTCCAACCATAAAAATTATCTATCTATCTACCATCAGTGAGACTGCTAACTGGGAGAAGCCAGGACAGGATCTGTATCAGAGGAAACCTCCTTAATAAGCTCTCAGTTTGCACATAGATACTCTTGCTTCAGTGTGATGGAAGGTGCTGGGAGTTAACACTGGCCTGTTACCCAAGCATTTGCTCTGTGCTTCATTTGTCATATAAAGTGTTCCCCTTTCCAAAGGTATCCCCATTTACTGGTGTAGTGGTTAAGAGCGGTAGTCTCGTAATCTGATGAACCAAGTTCGCTTCCCTGCTCCTCCGCATGCACCTGCTGGGTGACCTTGGGCCAGTCACACTTCTTTGAAGTCTCTCAGCCCCACTCACCTCACAGAGTGTTTGTTGTGGGGGAGAAATGGAAAGGAGAATGTTAGCCGCTTTAATTGCACTGCAGGGTTTTTGGTTCACCTATGTGAGTAACGTTTTAGTTTGGTTTCTATGTTCACATAGTCTTACAGTGCACGTACTATGAATCTCTGCTAGCCGTTGAGCAGGGCTGGAAAAGATTTACATGTGTCTGAACTAGCAGAGAGAAGTGCATAAATTCACATAGTAATTCTCATAGTTCTCATGCTCGGTATGAGCTTAATTCAGTTCTGTGACATTTGGGAAAGTTTGTCTAGTATTAATACTTGGGTTGTTGTTTTTTAAGTAGGGGGTTATTCTGACAGACATACTGTTGAAATAAAAACTTGAAAGAATGCACCTCAGATTTTACAGGTGCACAGAACATTCATTTGTAATGACTAATAGATCTTTTTCTTAAAGGCTGACCTAATGTTGAAAGGAATGTTTTGTTTGCATACGGTGCTTTCGTTTATTGACAAGTACCAAAATGTATGACCAAATCGGGATTTTGTACAGCATTTTTTATTTTTTCTGGAATCGTTTTCTTTGTCCCCCCGACCACCAGCAGGTTAATATGGATTACTGTATTTCCAAAGGAAATAATATTCCTTAAAAGGCATAATAATGCAGAATAAAGTTGATTTTTAAACAAAAACTAATATAACTCATGTATTGCAGTAACACATATCTAATATAATATGCTATGATATTGTGATTAATTTCTGAAAAATAATGAACGAGCACTTACTGTCATCATTAATGTCACATGTCTCCTGGGAAGGCTTTATTGACATAGTGTCAAAAAATGCCGAATGCCAGATGGAGTGGCAAGCAATAGGGAGAGGGATGTCAGCTGGAGTGCACAGCTGGACTGATGTCATCACTCAGCACCAAATGCACAGCTGGTTGTAAATTGGGCATGAAGGGTTCAGAGGGAGAAGGAAAGACTAGGCAGATCAGCAGTAGCAATGGCTGCATCAGATCTTTGTGTTGTGCCAAGGATGTTCAATGTGTTTCTTTTTTGCCATTGGACAAACCTGAAAGCAATGCAAACAAGGAGATTGCTTTCTATTATCCTCCTTAGAAGTAATGTTCAAAATAGCCCCACACAGTAAACGTGCTGTTCAAAATTATATTTTGTGAGGTCTTTAGCTTCATTGGTTCCAGGCTTGATTGTGCCTTGTACAAGCCGGTGTGGTGTAGTGGTTAAGAGCAGTGGACTTGTAATCTGGTGAACCGGGTTCGATTCCCCGCTCCTCCACATGCAGCTGCTGGGTGACCTTGGGCTAGTCACACTTCTCTGAAGTCTCTCTGCCCCACTCACCTCACAGGGTGTTTGTTGTGGGGGAGGAAGGGAAAGGAGAATGCTAACCGCTTTGAGACTCCTTAGGGTAGTGATAAAGCGGGATATCAAATCCAAATCCAAACTCTTCATCCATGAACCTTCTTAGTTTGGCCCATGGTTGCTGCTTGCCCCACTTCTTTTGCCTCTTCTATCCTATCATTTGTCTTAAATTTCTTCCTAATTCTGTCTGTCTGCTTGCTCCTTACCAGACCGTCCTGGTCGTCCTAGACCAGATCTTGCCAAATTTACCGGAGTGAATCAACAGACATTATTCACCCACAGGCTAAGTGACACTTAGCAAACCAACGAGGTGCAATCAACAGGTCCTCCTTCAAAATGAATGAAACAATTATTTGTCCGGAAGAGCTGATGATAAATATGCATATCATTATAATTTATCTTCATTATCATGATCAAAATACTTTGATTTGGACCCTTGTATTGCATGCTTAAATTAAAACAAAGTTCAGTCATCTGTGCTTAAATGTGAATGGATCCATCAGTGTACAAGGTAATATATCTTCTACAAGTCACCTTAAGTTTATGTAGCAAATTGAAGGGGGGGGATGATATACATCTAGGTGCTTGACTCTTTTATGGCACATACATTAAAAACATCATCAGGTGTGTTGGGGTAGGTGTTTTGGAAAACTCTATGTCATCATGCATTTTAGAGCAGACATGGTAAATCTATTCATCATGAAACGAAGACCACCACTGTGTTTGCAGAGCAGAAAGCCAGGCTTTCTTTTCTGGATAATAAATGATCACAGTGCTGGAAGTGAGTCAGACTGGCCAGAAGACAAACTATCTTTCATTCCAGTCTTCTGGATTCACCTGTACATATTCAGGTGCTCAGCAGAAATGGGTTTTGTCTTCAAGGCTGAAAGACCCTTTAGTTTAATTTAGGGGCATTTCACTGGACTTCCCCAAGAAAGTAAAATAAATTTGCTAGTGGTTACAAGTTGTAAAAAGCTGTTAAAATACACAGGTTCTGCCTCATTTCCAGTGAAATGCTGCGACTTAAGAACACTCGTTTATTGTTACACACTACACTCCCAGACTGTCCAGGTAGATGAAATTGGATACCCTTTCGTATTTCTTTAAGCATTTCATTATCATTTACGGGTTGTTTTGCGGGACAGGGAGGGGGAACCCAAAACCAAAGCCCTTGGAGAGAAGTACAATCTAACTTTCAGCAATGTGCAGCTGAATGCATTAAGAGAAAGAGAGAGAGGGAGGGAGGGAGGGAGAGAGAGAGAGAGAGAGAGAGAGAGAGGACTCCATTTGACCTTTGACTCAGGAGAGCCCTTCTGGTTTTCTGTTGCTACGGAAACAAGTTTCCTTAATGGCAGCCCCATCAGAGGTGAGATGAGTAAAATAAGCTGTTATATAATGAAACATGAAGAGACATATATGAAGTATTAAAAGCTTGACTGGGCAAGTCAGCCTGTGTCAACAGTGCATTAAAAACATCTATCATAGTCCGACTTCAGCTCTTATGCCCAGACTGTGATACCCTGACTGCACATTAGGTATGTAGTAAGAAGAGAAAAGTCTAGCCCTCCATCACTAACCTGTTACAGTAGTTTGAATTATGGTTGTGCGTGTAGAAGATCTGTCTGTGGGATAGAGTGGGCAGACTTGACTATGACTAGATCCATTCTTTTCATTGTTACAGAATATTTTAGGAATAGGAAGACAGTCTTTTGACTATCATTTTTTCCCACTAAATATGTAAATAAGGCTGTAGAGATGGTGACCACCTTGGCTATTTTTTACATAAGTTTTTTTTATATAAAAAAAATGCAACAACCCCATGATTCATGTAGGAGGCTCAGGGCATAATTGAAAACTTTAGCACACAGTGGATTAGACACTGGGTTCAGTCAAAGTGTTGATACCTTGAAGGAGTACCTCCCACAATACCTTCTTAAGATCTGGAAGGCAGGCCCTGCTTGTGGCGCAAAGTCCGTGAGGCGCTGGTACAAGGCAGGGACTTCTCAGTGGCAGCCCCCAACTATGGAACTCCCTCTTGATTGATATTTGGTTGTCTCCCACATTGCATCAACTTAGAACATATTTATTTCACCAGATGTGTGGTAGTTGGGGGCTCATTTTCACAGAAAGAGTTTATTGTCAGCCACATTGTGTTACTCTTCCCTGGGCAATTTTAAATTTGTGACAATTATATTAGGTTTTAAGGAGGAAGGGCATGGTAGAAGAGCAGTCAATCACTAAATACCTTCTGTGACCCCACTCAATTGCTTCAGTCTGTGGAAATGGCACTGTTACAAGTGGCACATAATATTTGTTCCGCCCTTGTAATAAACTGTTGTTTTTGCATGGCAGCCTTGGAACTCCCTGCTGATTGGCATCAGGTAGTTGCCTTCGCTGTACTCTTTTTGGTGCCTGATTAAACTGTTTTTGTTTTAGGCAAGCCTATCCAGACACTCTTTTTAATCTACTGTTGATTTTCATTATCTTTTTAATTACTTGTTTTTATTGAAAATTTTAATATTTCTTGTAAACTGCTTGGAAGCTTTATTACAGTCAAGTGATGCATAAATTTTGTTAAATGGTCCCAATTGCATATAGTGATTTTCTGCAGGGGTGAGGAAACTTTGGGGGCAACTTTCTGGAGGCCGCATGCTAATGGTGGGTGGCACCAGAGACAAAGGTGTGTGGAGAAAGCAATGCAAATATTTACCTTGTACAGTACACTAATTTCCACACACTCACACACACCTCTGAATTATCCATTCAGGCAGGAAAGAGTCATTTTCAGATTACCAGGGCCCAGAAATCTAGAAGGGAGCCCAGGGCCCCCTTTGCGTAAATATATTCTCAACAGGTATGAATATTGCCATTTATTATTATTATTATTATTATTATTATTATTATTATTTCAGTTATATTTTTATTAAAGATATCTTAGTTTACAAAAATACGTGCCTTGTCTCTCTTTTTCAAGTTGCATTTTCTACAGATCAGTTTCATTTGTTGTGAGACATACAGTATTGCATACAGTATTAGGATAGGAAGAAAAAAGAGAGAAAGAAGGGGAGCGGGGCATGGTGAGTGGAGTGGGGTCGGGTGGCAATGCTTCTATTTTTCTACTTAGTGTATGTGTGGGGTTTTTTTGTTAGTGTCACTTGTGTGGGTTCTCCTACTATTCGCTTGTTGTTGCAGTGTTTATTATTAGCATAAAAATGAGATCACACATTTATTTTACATCCCTGGTAAAGATTTTTAGCTGGTCCGCCCTTGCTGGAGGGCTTGGATTTTTCTTTCCCCCAGCAGGGCCCAAACCCACCCTCAGGAGACCCTGGTCCTGAGAATGACCTGGAGGTCACATTTGGTCTCTGGGGCAGAGGCTACTGCTAGTTTACCATGATCATGCCCGTGGGCATAACCAGGATTTTTGTTAAGGGGGGGCAGGACTTTGTTGGGGTGCAGAACCGCCGTGATTGGTCAATTAATTAAGATTTCTATTGCTTTACATCATGGGGGGGGCAGCTGACCCTCCGTGTTCTGTCTTGCTACGCCCTTGATCAAGCCTTCAACTGTGTGGGCAAAAAATAATAATAATGCAATGTGCTAATATGCTTATAAAGTTGATTACAAAAGATCGTTGTATCAATGAGAATCAGAGAATCATAGAATTGCAGAGTGAAGAAACACAAGCATGCCCATTTCCATGCATATATCCAGACTCCCTGGTATCTTAATACAAAATTACATATGTTGATAGCAGAAAAACCAGGGTAAATCAGTTCATGGGATTACAGTTTCATTGCTCTATCTGAAATACATTAAATGTCTCTATGATTGCTTATATGAATGGAATTCAACTTACTTTGTGTTTCTTGTTACAATAGTTTTTTTGCAATCAGCTTTATAAACATATTAGTCCACTGCATTTTTTCCACATAGTTTCAGTTATCCTTCTTTTCCCCCACCAATTATTCTTTGGGGAACCTGGTCCCCCCTCTTCCAACTCTGCTGTTTTCTATTACTTGTGTGGAGTATACAGTTGAGCAACATAACAGTTTGCACACATGTAGAATGGGTTCAGTGCCACTTCAAAACAGGCACCATTTATTTATTTAAACTTTAGTACTACTGTGTGTGCTTCATTTTCTTTTCAGCACAGTTGAGAGTGACTACAGACTTTCTCTGATTCCCGTAGTCTTCATCTTGAGAAATCAGCTACATCCTTATGAAGGAATGAAAATTACACATAATTCCATTCCCCTCTTCAAATAAAGTCCAGTGCATTAAGTCACAGCTGTCTCAGGTGCTGTAGCTTCCAATTGTGTTACTACCATTAATCCACCAAGATCATTCTAGGTCTCATTAACCTTGGCAGTCTGGAATGCTAACCACCACTATCAAGTACAAATTAGTTTTCATTGCACATATGCTATTTCCAGTCAACCAAGCTATTTGAGATATTACAAAGTAACCTAACTCTGTTAAATTCTCTTGTGTATAGTGGACAAATTGTATGGATAGGATAATTAATAATGAATAGATATATATTTTGGAAGGAAGACTCTTTCTGTCTCTCTCCCCCTCCCTCTGTCTTCACTTCAAGGGAACGGAGACATAAAGTATATGTCAGTCTGGAACTAGTATAGTTTATTCTGTTCTAGTTTATTGATACTAATTTAAATCCTAGGAAATTTTTTCTTGTTCGTGGACATGTGAAGCTCATCTCCCATACTAGTGGGGTAGGGGAGAGAGATGGAACTTTTTAGCTGCTTAGTTATGTCTCCCAAAACTGTAGCTAACAGATTCATTTAATTATTTGTTAGTGTTGCATACTATAGATTTGGGTGGAAACCAGGAATGGCAAGGGAGACAACAGGACAGCACTGTAGCATTGTATCCTTGAGTTATTCCTAAGGCATTTCAGCCATTACTGAGCCCTGAGTAGGCCATTTAACATGGCACACAGTGGGATATGGAAGGTTTTGCCTCATCTACCCTCCCACTCTGTGCATACAGCCTTAATTGTCCATTGGGACATTCATCCATACCCGTCAACTGCCCCATTTTAAGCAGGGCGTTCCGGAAACACAGAAGCTGATCCCAGCTTCTGTTTGAGTCCCAGATGTCCCATTGTTTTGGCTGGTGCTCTGGCACAAGTCCTCACACCAGAGCGCTGGACCAAAAGACTCTCAGCCTGGTACTCATGAGCAGGGGCACATGATCCAGAGTGCCAAAGGTCTAGTACTCAGGCATGGCCTACTCACAAGCACCAGGACACCTAAAGGCCCAGCACTCTGGCATGAGTCTCTGGCGAGCCCAGAACACTGGTGCCAAAATCTCACACTCTCTCACCCTGCTGGGGGGGGGCTGTGATCTTGTACGGCACTCAAAAATGTGTGTTTTTGGATGACGTGACTCACCTGGAGTGACTTCAAGTAAGTTTTCCCAATTTCAAGTAGGAAAATGTTGATTGGTATGCGTTCAGAATGAATGCTCTCACACTGACAATGCCTCACTCATATGACCCTCTCCACCAAAAAGATCTAACAAGTGAGAACTATTTACATAGGGATTTTTCCGCATGGCCCCTTCAAGAAGTAATCAAGTCATGGGCTGCCCGGAACCCAGGCGGGGTGAAACCAAGGTACTGACAGAGCAGCCCAAACGTTGGCTGGGCAAGGGGCAGAGACACCGCCACACCTGCAGCCCCGTTCCTCATACCAGGGTGAAAGGCAGGGAACAGGCCAAAGCCTGCTACAGTTGGTGTAAGTATTGCAGTGGGGCCAACTTGGGACCCAACCAAACCCGGTCCAGCTCAGTCCCTTTTGTCCCCAGAACACCCCATTTTTGGGATTTCCCTGGGCTGCTGTTGGTGAGAAGCCTTATAGTACTAGGTAAAAGGTAAAGGACCCCTGGGCAGTTAAGTCCAGTCAAAGGCGACTATGGGGTGGCGCTCATCTCGCTTTCAGGCCGAGGGAGCCAGCGTTTGTTCACAGACAGCTTTCCGGGTCATGTGGCCAGCATGAATAAACCGCTTCTCGTGCAATGGAACACCGTGATGAAAACCAGAGCGCATGGAAACACCGTTTACCTTCCAGCCACAGCAATACCTATTTATCTACTTGCACTGGCGTGCTTTCAAATTGCTAGGTTAGGAGGAGCTGGGACAGAGCAATGGGAGCTCACCCCATCGTGGGGATTCGAACTGCCAACCTTCCTATTGGCAAGTCCAAGAGGCTCAGTGGTTTTTAGACCACAGCGCCACCTGCGTCCCACTAATCTTTCTTTATAGTACTACTTCATGGGCAGAGATTGGTGGAGCTTTCTGGGCTGGGCTGAGGCAGACCTTTACCTTGTCAAAACCTCCCACAACTACCAGTGTGATGGATTAGGGATTTGAATTGCAACCTAAAACAGGTTTAAGTTTCCCCATATATCCCCAGTCACAGATTACTCTGCACACTATCATAACTAAGTATACATTTAAGGCAGAAGTGAAAGGGACAGGGAATCAGTTCCAATTCAGTCATTTCTTCCCAGAGTAAACTAGTGGAGCTTTGCAAAGGAAAGCTATTGCCCAGACAGGTATAAAGGAGATTGCGGTTAGGACAAAATAGCTACTATTAATACTGCATATTTACTTCATGTTATTCCCTAGAGGAAATATACATTCTTTAATGTTTTGCAATAAAGGATGAATAACTGAAATGTATATTCAAGTTGAACTTCTCAGCTAATGTAACAGCAGTGCAGTCACTGTGGTTTGGCCATCATAAATTTCCTCTTGCAGTTTAACTGCTTCTATACAGACATTAATTTGACATGCAGTATATTTTGGACTTTCTCAAAGAGTAGTAAGTTGCAGAAATAAAACACTAGGTAGATTACTTCTACTACCTTTATCCACTAGGTGACAGTACAACTCTTTTACCTTTTTTTCTTAGAAAAAGGTAATGGAAAAGAAAAAGGTAACTTAAACAAAAACCTGCTGAATGTGTGCTGTCCAGTTGAATAAATATTATGTAATATGTGTATGGAAATTATCTTTAGCTTTCGTATTACTATGAGGAAATATTTATCTTGATTGAAACATCTGGGTGATTCAGACAGTAGACCTTTAAAACAAAACTATACACTTTTCTGCTCTTTTCAAAATGACCTTTTTACCAGGGCAGGTTATTGTAGACCAATAGCAAAATAATAGATAATGGAAGCTAATAATGGAAATGAACTATACTTAAGGTAAGAAATATAGAATGTTTGTACTTTGAAGTTAGCTCATGTAAAGGTAAATAATTAAAATTCTTTATCCTAAGGATTACTAAATGTATGAAATTAGCATTGCAAACAAAACAAATGTGTTATCTTTTAATCTTTAAACATTGTTTCAACACCTGCTTTTTACTGTACTTAGCACATTACTGGAATGGTTAATTTATCAAAAAGAACTCCTTTGTTTGAAATGTAGTTTATTCTCAGCATGCTTAATCAGAAGTCTGAGTTCAACAGGCTTACTTGCCTGTATACTTTCCCATGAATTTATAATTTGATATATTGTGAAAGAAAGAAAACTATACAGTGTGTTTGGGGTTCAAACGATCACGAATGTCTGCAAAATAAATACTTCACAGTTTGTTCATAAAAATCTTACCTGTTTAAATGTTTGGAGGCTCACACTTATTACCACTTACAAATAGAGTTGTTCTCTATAATGCATTGTGTTGCATATACTTTGGGAATATTAGATAAGGTATTCCTTAGAATATAGCTTAACATATTTATTGTTTATACAAAACTGCATAATGTTAATATTTCAAATATTAAAAACAAGAATATGAATAGCAGCAAAATTAAGACG